AAAAAAAACAAAAAATTTGGTATTTTATGAGTAAGTTACTTTAATTTATGTTAATTTAAGGTGGTTTAAAGAGAAATAATACATAGTTGCTCATATTTTCTCAAAATAAAGTAATTTCGCCCTGCATTTTACCCATTTTTCATCCGTTTTTGTCATTTTTTGTCTTTTTTTAAAAAAGTGGTATAACTTTTTCGTTTTAATTGCTATTAAAAATTGTCAAAGGAAAAAAGTGTTTATTTTTAGTCGTAATTTTCGAAAAAAAAGTGAAAAAATTTTTTTTTTGATAAATGCGAATTTTAGAACTTTTTAAAAACTAAAAATTTGAATTATTTTGTTGTTTTTTAACGAAATCATCTGGCCAACGAACTCAGGCGAGATTTTGGTACACTTAAGGTTTATACCAAATTTGAAGTCGATTCATTAAAATTTGTTCGAGTTATCGTCGGACCAAATTTTGTCTACAGACATACATACAGACAGACATTTTTTAAGACCCATTTTTTCGGCATCAGAAAGTCTCAAAACGTCGAGATTTACTAAAATTAGAGAATGCTCAAAATCGCCCAAATGTAATACCTTCTCATTATGATGAGAATGTAAAAATAAATTTTTATTAAAAATTTAAAAAAAAACAAAAAATTCGGTATTTTATGAGTAAGTTACTTTAATTTATGTTAATTTAAGGTGGTTTAAAGAGAAATAATACATAGTTGCTCATATTTTCTCAAAATAAAGTAATTTCGCCCTGCATTTTACACATTTTTCATCCGTTTTTTTCATTTTTTGTCTTTTTTTAAAAAAGTGGTATAACTTTTTTGTTTTAATTGCTATTAAAAATTGTCAAAGGAAAAAAGTGTTTATTTTTAGTCGTAATTTTCGAAAAGAAATTGAAAAAATTTTTTTTTTGAAAAATGCGAATTTTAGAACTTTTTAAAAACTAAAAATTTGAATTATTTTGTTGTTTTTCAACGAAATCATCTGGCCAACGAACTCAGGCGAGATTTTGGTACACTTAAGGTGTATACCAAATTTGAAGTCGATTCATTAAAATTTGTTCGAGTTATCGTCGGACCAAATTTTGTCTACAGACATACAGACAGACATTTTTTTAAGACCCATTTTTTCGGCATCAGAATGTCTCAAAACGTCGAGATTTACTAAAATTAGAGAATGCTCAAAATCGCCCAAATGTAATACCTTCTCATTATGATGAGAATGTAAAAATAAATTTTTATTAAAAATTAAAAAAAAAAAAAATTCATAATTTAATGAGTAAGTTACTTTAATTTATGTTAATTTAAGGTGGTTTAAAGAGAAATAATACATAGTTGCTCATATTTTCTCAAAATAAAGTAATTTTGCCCTGCATTTTACCCATTTTTCATCCGTTTTTGTCATTTTTTGTCTTTTTTTAAAAAAGTGGTATAACTTTTTTGTTTGAATCGCTATTAAAAATTGTCAAAGGAAAAAAGTGTTTATTTTTAGTCGTAATTTTCGAAAAAAAATTGAAAAAATTTTTTTTTGAAAAATGCGAATTTTAGAACTTTTTAAAAACTAAAAATTTGAATTATTTTGTTGTTCTTCAACGAAATCATCTGGCCAACGAACTCAGGCGAGATTTTGGTACACTTAAGGTGTATACCAAATTTGAAGTCGATTCATTAAAATTTGTTCGAGTTATCGTCGGACCAAATTTTGTGTACAGACATACAGACAGACAGACATTTTTTTAGGACCCATTTTTTCGGCATCAGAAAGTCTCAAAACGTCGAGATTTACTAAAATTAGAGAATGCTTAAAATCGCCCAAATGTAATACCTTCTCATTATGATGAGAAGGTAAAAATAAATTTTTATTAAAAATTTAAAAAAAAACAAAAAATTCGGTATTTTATGAGTAAGTTACTTTAATTTATGTTAATTTAAGGTGGTTTAAAGAGAAATAATACATAGTTGCTCATATTTTCTCAAAATAAAGTAATTTCGCCCTGCATTTTACCCATTTTTCATCCGTTTTTGTCATTTTTTGTCTTTTTTTAAAAAAGTGGTATAACTTTTTTCTTTTAATCGCTATTAAAAATTGTCAAAATAAAAAAGTGTTTATTTTTAGTCGTAATTTTCGAAAAAAAATTGAAAAATTTTTTTTTTTCAAAAATGCGAATTTTAGAACTTTTTAAAAACTAAAAATTTGAACGAACTCAGGCGAGATTTTGGTACACTTAAGGTGTATACCAAATTTGAAGTCGATTCATTAAAATTTGTTCGAGTTATCGTCGGACCAAATTTTGTCTACAGACATACAGACATACAGACAGACAGACATTTTTTTAGGACCTATTTTTTCGGCATCAGAAAGTCTCAAAACGTCGAGATTTACTAAAATTAGAGAATGCTCAAAATCGCCCAAATGTAATACCTTCTCATTATGATGAGAAGGTAAAAATAAATTTTTATTAAAAATTTAAAAAAAAAAAAAATTCGGTATTTTATGAGTAAGTGACTTTAATTTATGTTAATTTAAGGTGGTTTAAAGAGAAATAATACATAGTTGCTCATATTTTCTCAAAATAAAGTAATTTCGCCCTGCATTTTACCCATTTTTCATCCGTTTTTGTCATTTTTTGTCTTTTTTTAAAAAAGTGGTATAACTTTTTTGTTTTAATTGCTATTAAAAATTGTCAAAGGAAAAAAGTGTTTATTTTTAGTCGTAATTTTCGAAAAGAAATTGAAAAAAATTTTTTTTTGAAAAATGCGAATTTTAGAACTTTTTAAAAACTAAAAATTTGAATTATTTTGTTGTTTTTCAACGAAATCATCTGGCCAACGAACTCAGGCGAGATTTTGGTACACTTAAGGTGTATACCAAATTTGAAGTCGATTCATTAAAATTTGTTCGAGTTATCGTCGGACCAAATTTTGTCTACAGACATACAGACATACAGACAGACAGACATTTTTTTAGGACCCATTTTTTCGGCATCAGAAAGTCTCAAAACGTCGAGATTTATTAAAATTAGAGAATGCTCAAAATCGCCCAAATGTAATACTTTCTCATTATGATGAGAAGGTAATAATTTCCTCGATATCATGTTTGGAAAATTATGGATTTATAAAAAAATATTTGTATTTATATATTTAAATATGTAAAATTTTGATTAAAAATAAAGTTATTATAATAAACAATTACAGCTCTAATTTCGCGCGCTTGCGCGCGTTTAATTTTGCTAGTTTTAGATATTTTTAAAAGAAATTTAAATACAAATTTTATTAAAACGAGTTATCAGAATTTTTTTGGCAGAAATCCTAGTAAATGTTCTCAACAATAATTTTATTGAGCCAATAAATATAACCAACCGAAAGAATTTTCAGATTAAATCATTACAAAAATGCATTTTTTTTTGTCTATAGTACAAATTTTGCAATAAACAAAATTTTCTTTTTAAGTAAATCGTTCATTTATTTGAGTTTTTGTTTTACCACACATTGTAGACAACATTTCTATTTGAAAATATTTCTTGTCAAAAGAGTTAAACACTATTTGTAATTTAATGTAATAATAATTTATTACTAATAAATATAACTGTATTTATGATTGTCTATTAATTTGCAATTTTCAATAGTTTTTTAAATTCATTTGCTTTCTTTTTATTTTTCCGTATTTATGCTCCTTCTAAATTTCCAGAATATTTAACGATTATATTTAACAAATCTTGAATTTTTAATTTCCTTAAATATCCCCTCACAATATGCCAAGAATCATTAATTTTAATATTTAACAGAAATTCAAATCATCAACTCAACCTCGTTTGGACCTCGCGATACAAGTTCCCGAACCTCGTCAAGCGAGTCCGTCCCAGCTATGTGCCCCCCCCCCCTAACTTCTACATTTTTCTTTATGAAGTACTGCAATTTAGTACAAATACATATTTTTACGTGTTGATTACAGGAAAAATATAGCGAGACCGATTGGAGTCGGCAGGCAAAAAATTGTAACACAAATTTCACATTGAGTGAAAGTATCAAAAATAAAAGTTATACATAGTAGATATTTAAATGTGTTTCTTTATTTATATATCTTTATTTATTTGTATAAAAAAGAGTTTATTATTGTTGGTGTACGGAACCCTTGAATTAGTGCGAGTGTAACTTGCACTTGTCAGATTTTTTCTTATTTCGCTCACGACGAACGAAATAGATGAATGAAAATGAATTTTGAAAACCTAACATCGGATTTGTAATCAGCGACCTCGAATAACGATTTTCAAGCCAATTGCCCTACAATTGGACAACATTTTTTGAATATTTTTTTGACACTCTTTTTGAAAAGAACCTCTAAAATCTAAGGATTAATTTGACCAAAACACCCCCGTTTCACCTAAAATCAATAAAAACTTACTTTTTCTACCTTAAGAAAAAGTTTTCAACCATTTAAATTAAAATCCCAAGGGGGCGAAATATAGGCCTTAGGGCCCCTCCTTCTTTTGAACATTTTTTCTCAACTGAAATTAGTTCGAAGGGCAATAACTTATTTTAATAATAAAAAAATGTTGGTTTGCTGCTTTTCGTTAATTACCAGGACCTGGGCAATCCACGGCGCAAAATTAAGGAACTAAGTTTGAACAGCAGTAGCACTGCTTTTCTCTTTTTTTTGTTTAATAAAAAATTTATTTTAATACCTTTAAACCATATTTATATAATATAATTTAACTCATTTTTATAAAGACTATTAGTTCTACTTTCTGATAGTATAATTAATACAATTTTAAAATTTAATTGAGGAATTTTCTAATTATACAGAGTAGATAAAAAGTAATTAATGATACTAGGTTTTTTAATTGCAATAGACAAACGGAGTGCGTAGCGCGACGTTACGACAATGCGCGCAGGGGGCTGCAGGATTTTTTTATATTATATTGAATAGATTTTTTTAATAATCGAATGAACATTGGACGAATTTTTTCTATAAGTAAAGGTAAAAGGAGAAAAATCAATTGACGTTACTAAATTAATAAATTATAACTTTATTGAGAAACATCAAACATATCTGACATATATTCAGCGTTCCACCTCATATTCGTTGTAATTGAAAGATATTCTAAAAATTTTTGCATATTACAATTTATTTCTTCTTTAATTGTTCCTTTATCCAATAGAAAATTTGTACCAATTTCATCAATTCTCTGATAATTTAAAACACAATCTTGTGAAGAATCAAATGTTACATTTCCTAAAAGAAGATAAAATATTACTAAATATTCATAAATTAATTCTGAAAATTTACATCTCGTAAAATGAAAATGAGACACAAATATAATAATTATCCAAGTTCGAGGATGAATAAATTTTCCGCTGAATAATTATGATTAAATTTCACGTCTGATAAGTTCGTTCGATCATCTATAGCAGAAAAATATATATCACCTGCGCATTTAATTTCATTGTACGATCCAATAGTAGATGAAGAAATTTGTTGAGAATCCTTGTTGCTGTCAAAATCATTATTAAATATACAGCTACTTATTTCCGAATTAAAAATATTTGTTAATTTCAATATCTCAGTATCTAATTTTTTTCTATATACATCCACATTTTGATCTTCATTAGGGAAATTCTTCAAATTTTTAGCAGATTCAAAGTTACACTGACTAGACAACATATCACTACAGGACTTTTCAATTCCCTTCGCCTCTTGCCCATCTATCTTTAATTTAATATCATTTTGTGGAATAAAATTATTTTCAATTTTATCTTCTTTACATTTACTTTGATTTTCTAAAGTAGACTTCGCTTCTTCATCAGAATTATTCGCTTTATTTTCTAATTCATGTGCCGAAACTTTTTCAAAATCCACGTTATTCATGTTCCAAATATCTGATTGATAAGGAGTCGGTAATTTAAAGACTGAAAAATGTTTGCCTCCAACATGAAAAATTAAATCTTGAAAATTTTTAAGTTCACGATCAGAAATAATACTTATTGAAATTCCATAAGACCCGTAACGACCAGCCCTTCCAATTCGATGTAAATATGTTGCACTATCAATTGGAATATCCAAATTAACAACTAAATTAACATTTTTAACATCAATACCTCTTGCTGTTAAATCTGTCGTTAACATTATTTTGCATTCATAATTTTGTAATTTTGAAAGTGAATCTAAACGCTTATTCATGTCTTGACTTCCTACGATAAACATTGAAGGAAATCCCATTGATGTAATCTTATTGCAAACAGATTGAGCCCTTAAAGTATAAAAATTAAATATTTATAGAAATTTATATTAAAATTACTATAAAACAGAGTAAAAATGCTCATATTAGTAAATTATCTTATTAGCTTTAAAAACTACTTTAAAAATATTACTTGTTATACTGACCTTGTTTGATAATTAGAAAATACCAAACATTGTTTAAACGGGATCGTACTAAATATTTTTGCCAATTCTTCAGTCTTAATATATACCTGTAACAATTAAATAATACAAAATTTTTACTGTATATTTTATAGCGCAATTACTATTTAATAATATAAAATAACACATTATGGCAGTCAGGGAAAAATGAAAAAACACCTGGAAAATAATTTTCTGTTAAAATTATGTTAATTTTTGGAGAATTTTACCTAATTTTACCATGAAAAAAAAAATTTACCTAATTGATGAACAGTTAAAAGTTATATAAGAACTATAAGTTTTTATATTTTCGAGATTTAATTACTGACTTTTATTTTTTAAATCATGTTATAAAAACAGACCGCAATAGTGTATCTTAAATACACACGTTTATACATCGATCTCATAACGCGAATTAATAATTTTTAAAATAATATTATGATAAAAAATAGTGTAGAGTGGGGTGAAAATTTTTTCCTTTTTATATGTAAAATCGGTATTAAAATTTTTTTTTCGAAATTCCAATTGGTTCTGAAAATTTAGTTCTTCAGCTACAAAACCCTGATCGGACAATCTTCGTATCCCATGAAAAGACAAAGTTATATAAATTTTAACAGAACACTGCAAGTGGCTTTTTTACACCACCTGGTGGGGTGAAAAAGCTACTTTAAGATTCGGGGAAAATATATTATCAGGTTTTTTTTTATATTTTTTCTTTATTTATATAACAAATAATGTTATTTTAATAAATTTTAAAGAATATTAATGGGTCATTCCATTTTATTTCACCTATAGTCGTTGCAGCCTATTTTTAGAAAAATTTGATATTTCGTATTAATGACTTTGAATATCCGTACAATTTATTTTTGACAATTATTTTATGAAATTTTTTTTTATTTACGTTGAAATTTAGTTTTTAAGTTGAGTTGCACGGAAAATAGGTTAGTTTGACAACTTTGGAAATTTTATAAAAAAGAACAGAAATAATTTAGTTATTAAATTTTTTTTCATTGATATTTGTTGAAAATAGTCTAATTTACCAATGTTAATTGATAATTGTGTAAAAAAGGTCAAAATACTACGTGAAAATTAATATTCAAACTTACCTGTAAAATGTCAAAATTTGTCACATTTTATTTATATTTCCCAAGAAAGTTTATAAATATTATAAAATTCATTACTACCTAACAATAAGTACTTTCCAAGTACTTTCACATGATATGTTGGCTTTTTATTTTTATAATATAGAAATTTGTGAAATTTTACCTTGAATGTTGAACTTTACAGGACTTTATCTGATTTTGAACACTTATATATTCGCAGGCGATTAATGAAAAAATCCCATTTTGGTTTTAAAATTTAAGTTAAATCTTCTTTATTCATCTTATCAAAATTTGGTGATGGAGAACGAGCTATTTTTTATTTTTATTCACGTTAAAAAATTCACCGCAAAATACGAATTTGAAGGTTAAAAAACAAGTATTTTTATAAATAAAATTCATACTTATTGAATTGAGAAAACCAACTTCAGTTTTATAAAATTACTTGTTTTTTAAACTTCAAATTTCTGTTCTTTTTTATAAAATTTCCAAAGTTGTCAAACTAACCTATTTTCCGTGCAACTCAACTTAAAAACTAAATTTCAACGTAAATAAAAAAAAATTTCATAAAATAATTGTCAAAAATGAATTGTACAGATATTCAAAGTCATTAATACGAAATATCAAATTTTTCTAAAAATAGGCTGCAACGACTATAGGTGAAATAAAATGGAATGACCCTAATATTAAATCGAATGTAACAATAATATAAAATATAACAGAAAATTTACCTGTTTTCGAGGTTAAAAAAAAAGACGAGGTTACGAATATCAGAAAACAAATGAATATTACATACTATTGAAAGGGGCTTTTCTTATTTGGCTTTTTTACACATAATAAATCTCAAAATTAAATCAATTTAAAAAAATCTACATCACACACGTGTTAAGAATAGTTTTCTCTTTATGTACCAACATTTACTTTTATTTTTCATACACTTGAACGAGTCGTAATATGTTCGGAAAGTTAACCAAAATTTTGTATCTAAAAGATCTCAAAACTAAATATTACAATAAAAACTATAATATTATAGATACAATGGCCAAACTAGAATCAAAAGTTGCGTATTACCTAATTTAATTTATATTCTAAATGCCTGATAAAACTATTCAGTAGTTTTAATATAAAACCCAAATGGCTTTTTTCCCCTTGGCTTTTTCACCTCGTTCTATACTCTATAATATACGTGTTGTCAAAAAATGATAAAATTTTTAAATATTGTATTTTCACCAACGGAGAAATGTTTAAAACTGAGTTATTTTTCTATAAATGATTAATATAACAATAAAATATGCTATGTTTTGATAAATTTTGTTTTTTAATTAATTACTTTTTATATAAATCACACTTATAATGTGAATGGAAAAATATTATTTGAGACCTGGAAAACCTCGAAAAGTAAGGGAATTTCATTCGAGAAAAATTGTAGCAACCCTCATTTTGTAAACCCCACTACCCCTAAGGACCCTTACGTAATTAATGAATGGCCCCTTATTTGTTGAGTGAATTCAAAAAAATATCATTTTTGTCATTATAATGACATGATATTTTTGAAATATCTTACGTACTTCTGTAACAAATAACATCCTGTTTCATAATTCGTTTTAATTTTTTGTCTACGTACTCATGAAAAGTAGAAAAACTTCCGCCCGCAGAAGTTGTTTCAAAAAACGTGGTTTTAGTTGAAGTAATGTAAAGGCGCCATTTTGAAAAAAAATTATGTTTTAGTTTAGTTTGATACATGTGTTTTACGTTAAAAAACCAATATCGTTGCACTGTACCATTTTCTAAAACTAAATTATTGAAATAAACTCTATTTTTTACGTGCTCTGGGTGATGTTATCCGTTAAATGGAAATTGTATTTTTTTAAAATTTCGATGTATTAGAAAATCTACTATACAAAAGTTCAGTTAAATAAAAATTCTATTAAATCTGAATTTAGTGAAAATGTGAAATTCGAATGTGAATTCGATGTGAAAATTTGGCTCATTGTAAAATCTACACGGAGAGAAATAGATGGTACGTACGGTGTATAATCTAGATAGTACCAGGTACCATATTTGATCTTACATATACGGACTATACTATATCTAGATTCTATCAGTTACTATCCAGATTGTACGGAGTAACATCTTGATTGAATCATAACCATACTTTTTGTAACATCTTTGATGGTACCGGTAACCTCTACTTTCAACCATCTTAAGATGGTATATTAAAAATAGATGATCTTACCATCTATTTCTCTCCGTGTACGCTATAAAATTCTTCTAAACAGATAATTTTTAATTTGACGCCAACAAAATTCTGACAGGTCTAATGTGGGGAATATTCATGTGTCCTGTTTACATTTATCATCTGTAGGAAATATTATATTTTGAGTGGCTCTTTTTTCAAATGTACATTATTTTCATTTAAAATTAAAAATATGTACTAGCTACAAACCTGCTTCATTGCATTTGGATGGTATGGGACAATCACAACAAACTGTTTTAATCCAACAAGCATTGGTCCATCAATATCTGTTGATACTAAAATTGGTCCGCTCATATATTGACTTAAAAATATTTCTAAATCATTTGGATATGTAGCACTCGATGATATAATTTGTTTATCGCTTGGTAGCTTACAAAAGATGTAACTAAAAATTAAATAAATAATGTTTATTATAAAAATTAAATATAAGATTGATTCCCTGAATAGTGATTTATAAAATCAAATTGGATAATTAAACTGCAATAATTGAAAAAAATTGTTATTTATTATACTTACTTGATGTCCTTTTGAAAACTTGTCTCCATTAATTTATCTGCTTCATCCATTACAAAAAGGCGAATATTATTAAGTTTCAAAAATCCTTTATCAATTAAATGTTTTATTCTTCCAGGAGCACCAACAGCTATATGACATTTATTAATTTTCTTTCTGTCCTCATCTAATGAAACTCCCCCTATGAAATAGTTGACACTTAAACCTAAAATAAGTGAAAATTGAATATAAATTATATTTTATAAAATTTAAGATTGAAAAAATGTACCTTTTATCTCTCTTCCGATCGATGATATAACGCTTGCAATTTGAACAGCAATTTCTCGCGTAGGTACTAAAATTAATACTTGAACACATGATAATTCAATATTGATAGTCTCCAAAGCTATAAGACCAAAAACTGCTGTTTTGCCAGTTCCAGATTTCGCTCTTATCACCAAATCTGTATTAAAAAAAACTTGTTTTTTTAACTTATACTTTTTTATGATTTTTCTTTTTACAAAATTTAAAATATACTATAGTAACGAATCAAATTTTTGTTTATTATCAAATGTAATTCTTCTTCTTACAATGATTGTCTAAGCTCACGGATCAATTTATTTAAAATAAAATTCAATTCGAAAGTTACTTAGGTCTGTTAATATTACTAACCGAATCCACAACGACCAAGAGGAATTGCTTTCAATTGTATTGGTGAAGGCTTGATAAAACCACAGTAAGAAAGACCATCTAACGTCTTTTGCGAGAGATTCAACTGCGAAAAAGTTGTTTCTTCATTCACTTTTATGTCACTGGTTCTCAAAGAACTGTTAACATCATGGGCTTTTGAAACGAACATGATTATTTAGTTTTATACCTTTAAGTTCTTATTAGGTGAATTATAAAAATTTCAAGCCATGTTGAGAAAGAATTTTTTAAGTTCAGTATTTTATGTTTATCTGTAAATTAAAAAAGTAGAGTATTAAAAATTGAAATCATAGCATAATAATAATAATAATAATAATAATATACATATGATTCAATAGTCCCTACTAATTTTCAAAATAAGCATATGCTCCATTTAAGAATTATTGGGGGGTCAGAGTTGACCATGTTCAATAACAAAAATATCAATCCAGCAAACACAAATATGTAATGGTTATATATTTGTTATATAACAGGATGTAACATGTTCTACTACAAGCTTGTACTATGTTACGAAAAATGTCAGCTCTGAACTCTGTAACAAATACGTAACACTGTTACAACTGATTTATAACAGATATGTAACAATTACATAAGGTGTTACAATTTTTTGAAGCTATAGTAACAACATCATATATATCACATATGTAGATCTGTTACAAAAAATATAAATTTAGCATAAAATATTATGATAAATTACATTTTTCTTCATAATATTTTATTTTTATTTGACGTCAATAATAATATTAATAAAAAAAATGAGTATTCATAACTCATTCTTGGAAATCTTCCGACGGGTTTATTAATAACAGTAATTAATTAATTATTATCTCGAAAACAAAATAAAACGACATTTTGTTGAATTTGTTTATTAAAAGCATACATTTTAAAGGGTAAAGAAGAGAAATAAAAATAGTCTTGCATTAAAAAAAATTCGAAAATATTTTAGATTTTGAAATAAAAAAAAAAAATTTGCACCATTCGAAAGAGCAGGAAAAAACTATTTGAAATCATATATAGGTCAAAATTTTTTTAATCATTTTATACAATAGTTATAATTTTTTAAAAAATACTATAAAAATACTAAAAATACTCTACTGTTCATATTTGACCAAATTTTTAATCCTCTTCCATCTCTACAGTTTTTGATAAAAATTAATAATAATAATTTATGGGCCTCACCCGTAGTAGTAAATGTTATGAAAATTGCAGCCTGATCTGAGAAAATTTTTTTTGAATTGGATCACTTCAGAAATTTTGCTTCTTATACACTACCGGCAGAAATTGTCGGTACGCCTGACAAGCGAGGAGTGAAAATTTGATGCTGAACTAAAGAAAAGATATTTTAAGTTAGAAAAAAATTAGAGACTTTTAGAACTGATAAAATTCTGCGTCTGAATATCTATATGAAGAAATTTTTTTTCTTTTTTTTAGCATTTATAACACCTAATCTAGAATAACACAAGCCTGCAAAAAAAATAAAATTTCCGTTGTCAGAGATCAGGAAGTCATTTCCCGTAGTTTTTGGTGCGCTGAATCCGAATCTGTCAACGAAAACCTCCCATCACATCAGGATGTGAGTGGAAAAGTCCCCACTTTTCTCAAAAGTAAAAAAAAAGTAAAAGTCACAAAAATCACGTTTTCGGCAGTTTTTGAAAATTTCTACCGGGTAAATCCGACGTGCTAGAGACTTGTCATTCACGGAGAAAAAAAAGGAGAAACTCTTAAACGAGATTCAGCTGTTTGACCGCTTGGAAAGTGAGCCGTTCGCTTCTCAAAGGGTGAACGAGTACGCTTTTTGAGGAAAGCGGGTCAGCTTTCCTAAAGGTGAAACGACAAAAGGTGAACGGTTAATCCTCAAAAGATTAACAGTTCTCCTTTCGCGGCGAAACTGCTGCTCCCTGACGAGTGAGAACAGCTCACAACTGCCAAATCAAGCGGTTCTCCTTTTTTTTCTTCGTGTAGGAGTCAAATTAAATCTTGAACCCTGTATTTTATGACGATATAGCGATATTGACAACAACAAAATAATTTTGCTGTCAAAATTGGTTTTTTTTAAGTTTTCAAGCATAAAAATTGACTCAACTGTTCGTAAATACAACTATTTTAAAAAATACTAGGATTCGCTTGGAATTTGTCACTTGGGAGTTTTCGGGGTCGCGGATTACAGATAATCCATTTTGAATTTTGAAAATCAGACAATATATCTGTAATCCGCGACCCCAAAAACTCCCAAGTGACAAATTCCAAGCGAATTCTAGTATTTTTTAAAATAGTTGTATTTACGAACAGTTGAGTCAATTTTTATGCTTGAAAACTTAAAAAAACCAATTTTGACAGCGAATTTATTTTGTTGTTGTCAATATCGCTATATCGTCATAAAGTACAGAGTTCAAACTTTAATTTGACTCCTATGACAAGTCTCTAGCACGTCGGATTTACACGGTGAAAATTTGCAAAAACTGACAAAAACATGATTTTTGAGACATTTTTCACTTTTCTCAAAATCCTGACGTGATGGGAGGTTTTCGTTGACAGATTCGGATTCAGCGCACCAAAAACTACGGGAAATGACTTACAGGCTTGTGTAATGTATAGAAATATTTGACAATTTTACAATATAATCTTTAGGGGGGTAGGGGTATGGTATTTAATTTTTTTTTTTGCATTTTAAAAATTTTTTTTAATTGAATGTATAATATTTTAAGAATATTCTGTGAAAATTTTAAGCCGATCGGAACAAAATTGACGAAGTTATGAGCATTTGAGCATTCAAGTGCAGGTTGCTCCGCGGGCTGTGTTTTCGTATATTTTGAATTTAGTTTGTGTTTAACCTATTGCGGACATTTCTGAATGTTTTCTGATGTCGTTGATGCGTATGTATAAGTTTTGGGGTCGCTGATAACGAATCTGGAGTCAGATTTCAAAAATTGTCAAAATTTAAAATTGTGTTTTTCTCGAAATGACATTTTTGAAGTCCGTGTTCACGATATCTCAAAATCTACTGAACCAATCGTTTTGAAATTCGGCTCAGTACTTCTTGACTTACTTCTCTAGGTACACTGAAAGACTTTTCGTTTGAAAAATTAATATGATTTGTTTGAAAATGAGGATAATTCTGTTTTTATACGACTTAGTCGTATGAATGTATCAGTGTTTAAACCAAATCATTCCGAAAATTAGTATGGTCATATTAACTTTCAGTATTATTTAGTTAAAAATTGTTACATTTCATACGACTAAATCGCATAAAAACAGAATTATCCTCACTTTCAAACAAATCATATTAATTTTTCAAACGAAAAGTCTTTCAGTGTAACTAGGAGAGTTTTTTTTTTTAATAATTATTAATTACACAGTAAAAAATAGATCTATTTTTTCAGCGAAAATCGGGTTTTTGAGTTTCAAGTGATGCGTAAAATCGAAAAATAAAAAAAAACTCTCTTGTAGTTACCTCGAAAAACATCTCATTTAACAAATTTTTTTTTTTGATTTAGATGTTTCTGTTGCGAGTTACATTGAACACCGCAAATCCATTTTTTACGAGGCGCCTGAAGAAATTTACTGCCACTCGTTCAATTTGCAATATTTTTTAATAAGAATTTAGGAAAATATACTTCAAATATTGTATTAATATGTGGAAATTAAGTTAATAAGGTAACACACTTTATATCACCGAAAAAAATTATTAAAAAAGTGCCATTTTTACACCGAATTAACCATATCCCCCCTTAAGGTCTTAGCTTTAATTTGCATTTTTGAAACTAAAAAAATGTTTTGTGGTTCCTGAAATATGTTAAAAAAGGTCCGAGCATGTTTTTCTACAACTCAACTGTCGATCATCACTTTTCGCTTCCTCGCTGCTAGGTTGTAGAACAACATGCTCGGATCTTTTTTAACATATTTCAGGAACCACAAAACATTTTTTAAGTTTCAAAAATGCAAACTTAAGTTAAGACCTTAAAGATTATATTGTAAAATTGTCAAATATTTCCATACATTATTCTAGATTAGGCCAGGAGTCAAAAACATTAGTACGAAAGTACGAAATTGCATAATTTTTTCTTGAAATCTTTGCGGTGTTATAAACGCTAAAAAAAAGAAAAAAAATTTCTTGATATATATTCAGACGCAGAATTTTATCAGCATTACAACCATCTAAGTCTCTAATTATTTTTCTAACTTAAAATATCTTGTCTTAAGTTCAGCACCAAATTTCCACTCCTCGCAATTCAGGAGTACCGACAATTTCTGCCTGTAGTGTATATAAATTCAACAATAAATTTTGAGGTTATGTTATGTTTAACACTGTATTAATTAAATTCCTTTTTTTCAAGTTATAATATACTAACAACAAAATTTGGATAAAAAAATCTAGTAATTGTGCAAAATTACATAAAAATTAAATAAAGGTTGAAATATTACCCCATAGTGGGGTCGGAATTACCCGGCACGTTATCGAAACAGAATATGTAAGATGTAATAGATTTGCGAACCGACTGACATGACAGTAATTTAGAAACAATTCATCCTAAAACTGTTAGTTTATAAAACGCGTTTTAAAAATGTGTTAAGGATAATTCTTAATTAAATTACTTTTTATATATAAATGTTATTGGTATATGTCAAACTTACCCCGCTCGAGCTCACCTCATAATTTTTCACATGTAGAGTATAAATTGACTTTCTTTATAGTACACATGTATGTTCTTGTAAGTTCTATTAAATTAACATTTTTTATATTAATTTTTCTGTTTTATTTTAAATTGTAAATAAAAGATATATGTAACAAAATAATAATACAAACAATGGAAAATTTAATTTATAATAAAATAGTGTAACATCCCAAATATGAATAGTCCATTGGGTGAAAGTTTTCCTTCTTTTAAGGTGGTTCCACAACAACTTGCATTTGTATTTATTATTAGTTAGTTTCCATGCGTTACAAAACGCATGCGTTGGCTTTATACTGGGATGCTCCCTGTATATCTCGCCATGATCCGGTAGGTAGAAAACGGTTACTCAAACGTATAGGTATTTCCAAAATCGGACTCACGTAGAGTCATTTATATTGAAGCAGAGCGGGAAATTTAAATTAGGTTATATGCTTAAATTGGTTTCCTTTAAAAAGTCGAAGATATGTGAAATAATTGTAGGTGAGGGGTTAGAAAGAAACATGTCACTACAGAAAGGAGCGATGCACTTAAAAGTTTTTGAAAGACGTCGAATTAATTTTGGTCGAAAATTATCATATCTTGAACAGTTCCAAAGAACATGTTCGAGATCTTCATTTATTTCAGGGTTGCAGGGGCAAGCTGGGGAGTTAACGATGTTTTTTCTGAATAGGCTCTCTTTAAGAGAGTGGTGATTACTTCTCATCCGGCATATTGACACAATTTTTTGTCTTTCCGCATAAAATGTTGCGAACCATGGCTTCGTGCGAGGTTTGTAGAAACGTTCTGTATAGAAGTTTCCAAAATATCTACCTCTTGTTGTAAAATAATCGTGACATTTATCATTCAATTGTTCCCTGAAACAGCTTACGAAATCCGAAGGAGGAAGACCGAAATTCAAAAGAGGAGAATTGCTCGATGCCAGCTTAGCAGCTTCATCTGCTATCTCATTTCCCTCCAAACCTTTGTGGCCTGGGATCCAGGCTAAGATTATATCAAAATGTAGAATAGTTAAAGAAGCTAATCTGTTTCTAATGAGAAATATTATGTGTGATTTTATGTTATTTGGGTTAGGACATGAAATACTTTTCAGGACACTTAAAGAATCGGAAAAAATGACAACCTTTTTTAAGTTATTTTCTCTGACGTAATCTAAGGTTATTAAAATTGCAAAGGCCTCGATAGTGAAAATAGATGCATAAGCATTCACTTTCCAACTTTGCGTGAGTTGTTCTGATGGGCAAACCGAAGCACATCCTGCCTTGTTTCCATTCTCTGATTTCGATCCATCAGTATAGAAGCACGTATAGTTTCTAAAATTATTGTCTAAAATGTCTTTGAAAAGAAGAGGGGGATTAACTGAATTTTGGATCGAAAAGCCGATATCTGTTACTATTTGAGGTTCGAAAATATGGTCGCTATATGGGAAATCATAGTACGAATAACGAAAGGATTTATTAATGAGATGGCTGAATTCTTTGGCTCTACGATATGCTATTAGGAGGGTGAAGGTGTTTAGGATTCCAAAAGTGTTTCTTTGAGAAGTAATTTCTAATAGATTTTGGATTTTACTAATTAATGGATGATTAGAATTCGACAAAATTTTGATAATGTATTTTTTGGCTAGAAAATCAAACCTGAATTTAAGTGGAGGATCACAAGCTTCCGCCAACATGACGTTAATAGGTGTGGACATTCTATAGCCAAGTGCTAATCTGATGGCTTGGTTTCTAATCTGTTCGAGTTTACTAAATAATGTGTGATTTTTAAAATTGAAAATGTGAGAACCGTATTCCATGCAGCTTCGTATTAGCGCTCTATAAATTGTAAGCAGAATAAAAGGATGAGCTCCCCACCAAATTCCTCGCAGGACCTTTATGATGTTCAGTAATTTTGAGAGCTTTTCAATAAGGAACTTAAAGTGGCTATCAAAGGTGAGTTTATAGTCGAGAATAATTCCCAAAAATTTAACTTCAATGGAGGGAAATATGTGAGCATCGCCTATTGAAAGACAGTAGTTAGGATCTTCTAAGTTGATTTTAAGTCTGTTGAAAAGGATTAATTTCGTTTTGTCTGGGCATATTTCCAAACCTCTATCAAAAAGAAATCTCGAGAAAATATTCAAGCAGTTCTGAAGGACTCTTATACAATGAAGGGGATCCCTCGATCTTGCCAAAATGGCAATGTCATCCGCAAACTCAACCAAGGTACATTCAGGTGGAAGAAGGCTGTAAAGTTTACGAGTATAAATGGAGTATAGAATCGGGCTCAAAATACATCCTTGGGGGAGTCCCACTGTGCTAATTCTAGGATCTGTTAGTTCCCCGTTAATGTTAAAATACATATTTTTACACGCAACAGCATTGTAAATAAATTTTGCTATATGTTTCGGTATTCCTAAATCTTTCAGGTCTTTCGTTAATATCTGTGGGACAACACTGGGGAAGGCTCCCTTGAGATCAAGAAAAAGGCCCGCAGTGACCTCACCCTGTGTGAAGCCTGTAAAAATTTCGGTTGAAATAATGGCTAGGTTGTCCGCGCAAGACTTACTTTTGCGAAAACCAAACTGAGAGGGTGATAAATGTAAATGATGTTCCAAGAACCAACTAAGTCTATTAAATATTAATTTTTCCATCAATTTAAGCATACAAGAGGCAAGCGCGATTGGCCGAAATTTGCCTGGAGCAGATTTTGGAATAAAGAAAATTAAGAAATTGTTCCAGGAAGAGGGGAAAGTGCCTGAAGAGAGGATATTGTTGAAAATATCCAACAAAACTAATCTGGATTCCGTAGGGAGTTCAAGGATAATCTTGTTATTTATTTTATCCAATCCTGGAGACGATTTTAGTTTCAGAGATGAGATAGCCATGTTAAATTCCGAAATGTTGAAAGGAGCTTCTAGAAAGTTATTTGAATTAAAATTTTCAGGGAAAGAGTCATGGAAAGTCGTAGGTGGGCACATCTCAATTGTTAATTCTTGTAATTTCTTGATTGTTTCAGTATCTGCTGAGCAAGAAGCAGTAACAGGTTGCGAGAATCTATTTTTGAAGGATCTTATTACTCTCCAGACTTTAGAAATAGATGTGTTCTTATTAAGCGAGTTACAGAAGTTACGGAACGATTTTCTTCTTGACTCGTTTAAAGTTCTTTTAGCTTTTGCTTCACATTTTTTATATTCGAGATAATTTACATAATTGGAAGTTTTCCTAAACATAATGGAGGCCTCGCGTCTATCCTGAATTGCCTTGTCACAGTCCTCATTCCACCAGGGAGCCGGAATAAACTGTTTGGATTTAGACTTTCCTTTGTTGCTTCCAATTAGATTCGATTGAGATGCCTTTGGTGAAGCGGACAAAACTGCATGATCAACACATTGAACAAATGTATTATAACTCGTAATGGGATCTGTGGAAGGGGATATATCCTCTGCTCTAGAATTTAAAGAATTTTTTAAATTAGTAGAAAACAGATGCCAGTCAGTTTTTTTCAAGTTATATTTGTGGGAATAAAATTTTGATATGGGAATTTGAACATCTAATTTAGTGATCACTGGATAGTGATCACTACCCATGGAGTCATCCCAGACATCCTGCGAAGAACAAATAAAGAGTTGGGAACTAACAAAAGTAAGATCCAGAATTGATTGAGAGTCATTTGGTCTACTCACAAATGTGGTTTTGCCATTATTTAAACAAATAAGATCCGTGTTTTCTAGAGAAGAATATAAGGCCTCACCATTCTGACAAGACCGAGAGCCACCCCACAAGTAATTATGGGAGTTAAAATCTCCTCCTATGAAAATGCGATATGGGTTTTCAGCAAAAGCGGATTGGAAAAAGCGATTCCATGTATTTTCTGAAACCTTTTTACCATCAGAGGGAACTCTGTAAACATTTATAATCAATAATTTTCCTACAGATGTATCAATTGAAATAGATAACGTTTCTAAATTGTTCTCAATATTGAGAATAGTTGAAATTCTAGTAAAATTAATGTTTTTTTTAATTGCAATTGCTAGACCGCCCTTATTAAAGTTCAGTCTATCTGCTCTAACCAGGTTAAAATTCGGGTTTAATGAAAATAGTTTATTTGGCTTTAGAAAAGTCTCGCAGAGAAGTAGGATATCGTAATCTTTAGAAACAGATAAAATGTCGCTTTTTTTGTTTGTGATGCCGCAGCAATTCCATTGCATTATTCGCAAGTTATTCAGATTGTCCATTATTGGGTTTAGAGAATGAGTTGAGGAGGGATGTAAATTCAGCAGAAATATTTTTTAGTAAGATAAATTCCTCTGTATTGGGTGAGAAATCAGTAGAGAAATTCAAAAGTTTAGAGAGATTGGTCATCAAATTATTTATTATTTTAGCCGCAGTGAGATTTTCTGAAGATAAGTTTTTGGAAGAGGGACTCAAGGAGACGGATTGCAATGAATTGTCATTGAGTGATTGGAGTTGACTGCCAGAGAACAAGATATTTGTTGAATTCTTTCTTCCTTCATGAGGATGAAGAGCGAATCCATTCGGGAGAGAACTAGGAAGTCTTGTAGCGTAAAGATGAGAAAATTTTGTATTGTTTTTCGTGTTTTTATGACTTGGAAGATTCTGTTTCGTATTAGAAAAGGTTTGTTTTGTCAAGGCAGGATGAGAACTTTTAATCGGAAAGCTAGTAATTCTTTCCGAATAGGAAGTTTGCGATGGAGAAACTGTGGGAGCAAGAGTGGACGAACATTCTCCCAATTCGGGAAAATTGCTAAAATTAAAGTCAACTAAAGGCGCAGAAGAGCAATTCTGCAATGTTTTTTTTGATTTTTTGGGGCGAAGAACAGCCTTAGCTTCTACAAATGTCAAGGAATGATTCACGGCATACGCTCGAAAATCCTTCTGGAAATTGAATTTAGGGCAATCAGATGAATGTGGCAAGTGAGGTCCACTGCAATGCACACATACAGGATCTTTGTCATCCAAAGGACAAGTAACATTTTCTTCATGAGCAGATTCCCCACACTTTCTACATTTTTTTTCAGATTTACAATATTTACTGATATGACCGTACCTGAGGCATTTCCAGCACGCTTTGACTGGTGGAGTGTATTTTTCAACATTAAGAGAAGCGTTGAATATTGAAACTTTCGAGGGAAGAGATTTATTATTAAATGTCAATAAGACAGTATTTGAAGGCACATATTCAGCCTTTTTGGTTTCATTATTAATCGTCTTTCTTGAAAGACGGCGAACATTGATAACAGCGGAATTATTGTGATGATAGCCCAGAATTTCAAGATTTTCTTTTATTTCTTTTTCAGAAATATCAAGCGGAATATTTCTGATAACACCTTGGGATGTGACGAAATAAGAAGGAATGAAGGCTTTTAAACCTTTACTTTCCAGAGATTTGTCATCTAGAATTATGTTGGCTGCACAAGCCGACTTAGTGAAGACTGCTAGTTTACCAAAACCAGAACTCTTAACATCAACGATGCAATTTTTGTATTTAGAATTGAGGATTTTTGCGTACGTTAAACGATTGAAATCTTTAGCTGGAGTATTAGGCAAGGAACTTTCGATCATAATTTTACACTCTCCCTTCAAGGACTCGTCGTAGCGAAATCCGTTTGGAGGTTGTTGACGGTTAATGATTTTTTCACTAGAAGCATTCCGAGTTTGATTTTTGTCACAATAATCAGAGGTGCTTGTATCATCTACGATCATTTTGTCATTTTCAGGATTCGTTAGTGTTTTGGGATTTTCACTTTGGTCAGACATTTTTCTTTTCTTATTAAAGACACCCGACTGAAGTTTTAAAAGAATGTCTGCACTTTGAAAAACATCAAGAGGAAGTTGCGTAATTGCTGAAGAATCACTTGGTAGAGAAGTATTAGTTACTTCTCTGCTATCAGAGGACATGGTTCTACGGAAATGGGATCCCGCTTAGGCACGCGGGCCCTTAGCGTCTAGACGCCGTTTTGAGGTTACGAAGTTCAGAACAAAATTTTTTATAATTGCACTCAAATAAAACAAATTTTATAACAAATAACTGTAACTAAACACACTAGAGAAAACGAACGTCACAATGCGAATACCGAACTCACGCCAAATGCATTATTTTAATATAATAATATTTTGGAATAACGCGCACCTAGGGATCAGAGTTGCCCCCCTCTATCTTGCATTTGTATAGGGCTGTTTCCGAAGTGGTATTTTTAGTACGGAAGCCTGTACGGCTCACGAGCGTCTCGGACGCAAGTGGCGGTGTTTCGTACCACAAGTGGCACGAAGTCCGTCCAACTTGTTGCAAGTTCGTTAGTTCGTGCCACTTGTTGGACAGACTCCGGGCCACTTGTGGAAAGTGGATTTCTTGAAGGGTCATTCACAAATATGACAATTCCGTTGTATTCTGTTGCCGTCTATTTCGTCAGTGCTTTTCATTTCAAGTATGATTTCATCCGGGCAAGTCCGTTTAATGTTTTTGAATAAAATGAATTTGTTATTTTTTAATTGAAAATATATGTAAAAGATTACATTTCAGTGTAAACAAATGATATTGACATCTTTATTAATCTTAAATATTCATAAAAATATACTTTTAATTTTAAAAAATAAAATCCTCTTCATGTATTTTAAATTAAAAATCGGACAAGTGCGAGTTACACTCGCACTGAAATCGAGGGTTCCGTACTCGAAGCGAACTTATTTGGTATAAAAACAAATGTTTAAAAAATATGTGTTGTATGACAACTAATATAAGTGATACAAAAAGGAACAATTTTGTAAAATTCAAGAAAATTGTTCCTCTTCGTATCACTTATATTAGTTGTCATACAACACATATTTTTTAAACATTTGTTTTTATACCAAATAAGTTCGCTTCGAGTACGGAACCCCCGATTTCAGTGCGAGTGTAACTCGCACTTGTCCGATTTTATTTTTTAAAAATTATTTTACTAAAAAAATATAAGAAACATAATTTTATTTCAACTCGCAATATTTTTATTGTATTTACATTTTAAAAATATATTGAATATTAAATTTTATCTTTCTAAGTCAAAAAGAGATAAAACTTAAGATATTGATATAAGGCTAGTAGCTGCTTGTCAAGGAAAAATCGAAAGTTATCTAAAAAATAAAATTTGTTTATTAATTCCAGAAAAATCAACTCCAATCATCCTCGCTATATTTTTTTTGTAATCTACACGTAAAAATACGTCAAAATATATAAATTTGAATCACTGTAGAAAAACTTTTTTCGTTTTTTGCGGAAAAATACATTTTTTTCTGAAATTTATCATTTTTCTTCAAAAATTTGATAAAAATTGATCATCAACTCCAATCGCGCTTACATTTTTTCCCTGTATTTTTCACGCAAAAATTGAGTTTTACAGCAAGTATGAACAGTCTGGATTGAATATTGTGTGCGCTAGGGAGAATAAATCATTTTTTTCGAAATTTTTGATTTTTCCTTGACAACGCTATGTAAATTAATCCGAATCAAGTTCGCTATAATTTTCCTGTAATTTTCACGTAAAAATACGTAAGTGTACCAAATTTGAGCTCTTTATGTCAAAAGATGTAACCGCTAGGGGGGGAAGGGGTACATAGTCATTTTTAGGCATTTTTCGTAAAAATTCATGGTTTTTCCTTGACAACGCTATGTTAATCAATTCCAATCAAGTTCGCTATAATTTTCCTGTAATCTACACGCGAAAATACATATGTGTACTAATTTTCAGCCCTCCAGATAAATTTATGTGGCCGCTAGGGGGGGGGGGGGGGTACACGATTTCAAAAAAACCGATATTAATAGGGTTCCGAACCGAGTACGGAACCCTAAAAATGACAACATAACCAAAAAATCTTATTTTTATTCTAAACTAAAGGCGCTTGTACACCTCACAAATTCTTAGTATCCTCGGAATTTGTCAGAGGTTTCACTAACTTTGATTGGCTTTGCTCATAGAGAATTTCGAAATTTCCCTATCTTTTGGAAATTCTCCATGAGCAAGGCCAATCAAAATTAGTATAACTTTTGACAAATTCCGAGTATACTTAGAATTTCTGAGGTGTACAAGCGCCTTAAATATTGGTCAATTGAGAAGTTTCAATTGAGTTAAATAATATTATCTTATAATCTTATATAATATTATAACTTTTGAAAATTGTAAATTCAAAACAAGCAGATTTCTCAAAATTAGCGTTAAGGCGCATTCAGACCTCTCGGCTGCCTGCCTGCTGTAGTTACCATGGTAACATGATAAGAGTGAGTGAAGCAGAAAATTTAAATTTTTCGTCTGTTTCACTCACTCCCATTATGTTACCATGGCAACTGCAGCAGGCAGGCAGCCGAGAGGTCTGAATGTGCCTTTATGTATAATACAGATGTAGAAAACTCATGTATAATACGTGCATATTACACGTAAAATACCTTGTATTATACTCGAGGTTTTCTACGTACCCATCTCTGCTGTAAAGTAATTAAATTTTTATTACAGCAGGGTGCGGTAGTTAACGGGAAGTATGACATGGCGTGTGAGGACAATTAGGCTCTGTCACTTGTGACGTCAGAGTCGATTCTAGGTGTGACGTCAGAGGCCTGGAGGGACAACAAACAAACGAAACTTTCATAAATTTTATTCATAGTGTAAACATATAATAAAATTAAAATGTGTGTTGATAATTAATTTTGTTATATATTTGATTCAATTGCATTTATAGATTCTCTGAATTCATGATAAAATATAAATTTTGAGGTTAGGGGTGTTTGTTTACTAACTTGAAATCTTTTATTGCTGTGGTAATTCCCACTTAATATATATATTTTATATCTTTTTTAATAACATACATACTGGATATTGTTTATTAATATTGTTAAAATGTAAAATGTGATTAGTAAACAACGACCCATAACCTCAAAATTTATATTTTATCACGAATTCAGAGAATCTGTAAATGCAATTGAATCAAATATATAACAAAATTAATTATCAACACACATTTTAATTTTATTATATGTCAACAAGCGTTTTCCATGTTTAAAGTATGAATAAAATTGATGAAAGTGGAAAGAAATTTTCTTTCCCATAAGAATAACATTGCGTCGTCTGTTTGTTGTCCCTCCAGGCCTCTGACGTCACATCTTGAACTCGAAATATCTCGATGAACTGACACAGCCTAATGGAGCGGTCACACCTCGGCTGCAGGAGCAGTTGCCCATGGCAACCGTGTAAGAGTAAGAGAGATAGAAGATTTTCCTCTCTCTTACTCTTACACGGTTGCCATTGGCAACTGCTCCTGCAGGCGAGGTGTGACCGCTCCATAATTAAAACCAACTATAGGGCCGTTTCCGAATTGGGATATTTAGCGCACTTTTGATAAAGTGTATATTCGGGAAGTATGCAGCGTCTTTTTTTTTCGTCACAGCACAGCTATCTACGTTGGGTCGTCATGGTAACGTATAAGAGTGAGCGAAATAAGAACATTGTTTATTTCTCTCACCCTGATACGTTACCATGACGATCCTACTTAAGGTACGGTCACACGACTTTTGGAAAAACCATTCATGTCTTTCTCTCTCCTAAGACAGAGGCATAAGATTGTCTCACTCTGCATTTTCTTACATTTCCCAAAGACGGAAAATGCAGAGTGAGACAAACTTATGCGTCTGTAATAGGAGAGAGAAAGACAAGAATGGTTTTTCCAAAAGTCGTGTGACCGTACCCTTAGATAACTGAGCTGTGGCCGTAACCATAGATTCGCAACTGTGTTGATGAACGTGATACATGAGATATACTTGTGTCCTTTTCTATTTCTTACTTCAAGTTTGCAATTCTATTCTGTGTGTTTTCGGGAGTTGCAGATATACTCACAGTACAAAATTACCCAATCAGAATAAACATGCTGATGGATCAGCCAATCACAACACATTAACAGAATACTCACAGCAACTCCCGAAAACACCCTCTGTGTCTCTTGCGCACTCTATTATTTTATAATATCTTTATAGAATTGCTATCGTACCCTTATACTCTACCGAGGAAAACATATTATGTCTATCTATTTTTATATTAATGATTGTTACAAATATCGAAATATGGCGGAATCTTGTTTTTGCGTTTATTAGTCTATAAAAAAGATAAACTATCATTAAGTTACTTAAAATCTTCAAAAGCGCTGGCAGTTATTGAGTTGAAAATTTATTAGTTTCATTTCATATGTGAATTCTTCAGTTAATCTTTTATTTTGAAATGTTCGCAAAAATTTGTCAAGTGATTTTTCGTCGTGTAGATTTTTAATAAAAAAAAACTTTCGTTAGTTTTTCGAAAAGTGTCAATAGTTTTATGTAAAGAAATACAGAAAATAATTTCTGTAAAAAAATGAATATTAAATCATGATGACATTGAAGAATTTGGAGATATCAATGATATTATAAGTGATAAGTGTTTTGGTAAGGTTATTTTTCCGCGACACAATGTTTTTGAATGATACTGAAATACTTTATCTCGTGTTCCCTTAAAACGGATCACGTTAAAATGTATTATGAAATACATTAGTCAATAGTTAAAGTATAATATAAAAAAAATAATACAATGACTAATAACGAGTTTGACTCTGAGTTCTTCGAGCGAAAACTTCTTGCATTGAAAGACTCGCAGGATTCAATTCAGAGTCTTTCTGCTTGGTGCCTTGAAAGAAGGCAACATCATAAAAAAATTGTGGCTACATGGTTGCAGGTTCTAAAAAAAGGTAATTTATCCTTTACTTTCGTTTTTTATTACTGTTTATATTTTGATAGCAAATTATTGAAAACGTCATTTTTTACACTCGTCAAGGCATTGAAAATTTTCTTTAATTTAATCCTTATTTGTTTACCAATTTTCTTTCTCTAGTGTCAACCTAAATAGCTATTGAAATAAGAGTTATATTTTTATAGGGGTAAGATTATTCTATCAGAGTTAACGACGTGTTTTAAAATTAAATTTTTAGACAACATAAATCATGTTTTTCATATATTAAAATAATATATTTTTTAGAATAAACAAACAATTTGGATTTATGCATTTATTTTCGTTATTGATACGTAAAATTTATGTTTATTAGGCATGAGATTAACGAAAGTAGTTGAAATTGTTAACTGTCGTTAAATACTTTTTGTTATTTGTATTTTAAATAATTGAAAATATTAGCCTTCATTTGTTATAGTCAAAGAGGTTTCAGATCGCGAATTTACAAGACATTTTTACGAACATGAAGAAATTGAGGAATAATTGAAAATATTTTTGTTAACAAAACATTTTTTTTATATATTATTTTAAGATTGTTAAATTATTATTTCATTTTTTTTTTTTTTTGACTTTCGATTATAATTTATTATTCATGCGGACATTTAGTTAGGTGAACTTTGAACAGTTTATTCAAGCGTTTACAGATTAGTCGAACTTCATGTTTTTATTTTTGGAAGAAAGTTTTGATAATTACATTTATGAAACTCGTTAAAGTAAAGAAATCTAATTCAAAAATAAATAATTGTCTACCAATTTATCACTGTGAAAATGAATGCATTGCTGCAAGTTACAAGGTTACAAGTTACAAGTCAGGGAAAAACATTATTGTCAGTGAAATTTACGATGCTAAAGTTCGCAACGTTTATGATCAACGATTAGAATTCAATTTTTATTTAACACGGAAAATTATAAAATTGTTTACCAAAAAAAATATTTTTTTTATAATTTGTTGATTAATATAAACTACAAGAAATATTTTTTAGGCAGAAAATTATAGAATTTTTTTATTTTACAAAATGATTTCTTTAAAAATCATTTATCATAAATGTTGCGTACTTCAGCTTCGTCTAAAATTTAGGAAAATGAAGAAATTTACAGAAAAATTATATTTTATACCTCCTCTATGCGTAAAAAGGGGTCGCATGAATATTCCCCACATTTAATTTGTTGGAATATCCATAGTGTCGAAATTAATAGGCTCGAATTTAATGAATTTAAAAATTCATTGCCAGAATTTTTATTTGTACGAATTATCATTTGATTGAAATTTTAAAACACCGAATTTGTATTTGACTGTAGGCAATTGCAAATGACCAAACAGAAAAGGTTTGGCGGGAATTTTAAAATTAATCAATCATAATTTTCTTGATTATTTCTGATTAGTTAATTTTAAAATTCGCGCCAAATCTTTCCACAAATAAAGTTTCGATGAAATAGAAATTTTGCTATTTAAAAATTCTGCTAAGTATATAAATTTTATTAAAAAAAAATCCTGCTAAATAATAATTCGTTTAAATAAAAAATTTCTGTATTGCAAATTCGGTTAAATAAAAGTCTTGTGAAATAGAAATTATTTTACATGTGAATTCAGTTAAATCAAAAGTTTGTGAAATGAATATTTTGCTAAATGAAAATTAGATTAAAGAACATTTATTTTAATTAAAAATTCTGTATTATGGAAATTTTGCAGAATATAAATTCTGTTAAATAGAACTTAAATTAAATAAAAATTCAGAGAACTAGAGAAACTATTGTATAACAGTACGAATAAATAAAAATTCCTTTACATATGAATTCATTTATAAAAATTAAATAAAATATGAAAATTGAATTCAAATTAATTCTACTTTATAAAATTCGGTAACATAAAAATTTGAGTTTATTAATTTCAAACCCGTTGAAATTCTAACAAATTTATTCATGCGTCCCGTAAAAAGTTTCAACAATTTTTACAAAAATAATTGGAATTTTTTTATCTACTTAACCTATTTTGATAATTTACAATGTAAACATATCGATTTAAGAGGATATGACACTGAAGATATTTAAAATTCAATTTTTTGGTGATTAAAAGTTAAGTTTTTTTTTTATCTAAATCAACAATTGAACACCACCTTTTTGATTTTTTAAACAAATAAACATAATCTTGGTTTACTTCAATATATACCTGTTAATAATATATTTGGTTTAACTCTTTAAGCATAGAAATGTTGAAAAATATTTTATTAGCTTAAATAGAATTTTTTTTTAATATTCCTGAATTTATATTAATTTATATACAACACAAAAATACAAAGATTTTTATCTATTCTAAAAATGTTTCAATTGTCCTCAATTTATAAAACATCAATTAAAATTTTTATGAAATTTAATACCTAATTGTTTATAATTTTTTTAAAAAAATTAGCAAATAAAATTACCAAAAATTTTTTATTCAAGATCACTGAAAATTTAATTATTTGCAAAAATTTCAATTATTTTTAATTATTTTTATAATATTCTTCAAAAATTCAATTATCCGAAAGCATTTTTCAATTAAAAACTTTTGGAATTCAATTTTTTTTTATTATTTTGATTTCTAATAAATTCTTTATTAGTAGAAATCACTAAAAATTTCTCTTATTATACCTAATTATTGTCTGAAAATTAACAAAATCTTTTGAAATTCAATTATTAATCAATTATTAAAAATGCTTGCAGATAATTTTCTGCGAATTTGATTTTGTCGTTAACATTAAATGAGAAATAAAAATTGTTTAAACAATTTGATAGAGTTTTTTTTAATAGTGGAAGAAAAACATAAACAAATTTAATTGTTACCTCTATTTTTATTCATGTTTCTAAATATTCACATATTTATCTCTAATAAAATCACAAAACATAATTAAATAATAAATTTTTAACTATTTACTTTCATCTTCAAAAATATTGTCCATTTAAGAAGAAAAACTCGAAAACTTGATTTTTCCTTGTAGTTTCTACAAATCTGTCAGAAATGTGACCGTTTGTCTTCGTATGACATCATAGAAAAACCTGGGTTCATTTTTGCTGCGTATCATTCTGAGTTCCGAATCAAAATGATTCATTGGCAAACTTCAAGTGAATCAGAATGATCCTCGCTAAGATTATGATTATTAAGTTGGTCTAAGTAAAAGGGCGCCATCTGGTGATTAAGAAACAAAGCAATTCAAATTTAATATCAGAATTTAATTTAACAGCATTGACAATTTATTTATAAATGAAAATTAAAACAATGAAAAATAAAGTGTATAATAATAAAAGTCAAAAAACATTATGTTATTATTAAGGATATTTATTCCGATGAAAATTTTAATTTAAAAATTAAGTGAACTGGTTTGTCAATTACTACTATTATTACATTTTAAAGAATTAATATTTCGATTCAAACTAAAATTAAAATATTAAAATAATATTAAATAATATTAAAATTTTTTAATTTATCATATTTGTCAAAAAATTAATGATAATAGTTCTCATTTTTTTAGTAAATTAAAAATAAACAATAATAATTAATTAAAAAATTAAATGAAGGTAATTTATCATTATTACTACTTTTGTTATATAACAATTAAAAATATTTAAGAATAAGAATTTTTTAGATTTTCATTGTTCCTTAATTTAAGTGATTTAAAAATAATTTTGTTTATTAGATTATTTTAAATTTCAACAATTATATATTTTTAATTAAATTAATTAAATTAATTAATTAATTACATACTTGTTCATTCAATTTATTTCAATAAAATAAAATAAAATCCTATTAAATCTTAATATAATTTAATCAGGGCTGACACAATATTTTATTTTTCGCTGACTTTTCCCTGATTTCCAAACAGAATTTTGGCTTTTTCTCTGATCTCAAAGGGGTGTTAAAAAAGGAATATTTTTTATGTAAAAAGTCAAATTAAAATGTTTAGTGTATTCAGCTGCTTTAAAAAAATGTATGGCCTTTCGAACCGTTTTAAGGTTTTAAATAAACTTTTAAAACATTTAATATTTTGATTCAAGCTAAAATTAAGAAGGTAACACAGAAAAAATGTAATATTTGTTTATTTGTAAATAACTTCAATTGTGACTCTTTGTAAAACTCAATTATTTTCAAAATTTTAATAAAATTAATAATGATTTAAAAAAGTGATTATTACGATTAAAGAAAAATCATTTTCCTCCCAAGTTGCACATACTATTTTTTCTAACACACTTACCGAAAGTACATAGATTAAAAGTAAAGAATGTTAATTTTTCTAAAAACGGTATTTTATTATTAAATTTTAGCGAAAAATATAACTTTTATAGTAAGTCGACTACATTGAGATTAAATTATGTTTTTGATTTAAATTATAACTAATTTAAATAATTACATTGAATTAATTAAAATCTGATCAATACTTTTGTTTAATTTACTTATTAATATTTAATGAAAAATTTGAGCTATTAGTAATATTAATTGTCAATTTGCTTTCTGCATTAGTTTTCGTATCATTTGTGTTGGAAACATTCAGTTCTATATTTTTTTGTAGTTCCTTGATATTTCCTTCATTTTCACATATTCGCGATGACGACGATGAATCCAGGCGTATTTTTTCTGTTATTTTATTCCCAATGCTTCTTTTGTAATTTAAGGAGTCATTGATGTACCCTTCCGCCACAGCAGTGGATTTCCACCCACCATGTCTCTTTAGCGCAATTATATCACCTCCTGAATCAGCCAACAAGGTGACGGACGTACGGCGAAACATGTGCCCAGTGTAACTTTTGGGATCGGGAAGATTTAAATATTCTGCTATCTGACATGGCATCATTGCTGTGAAGTTAAATAATTTTAAATATATTTTTTATCATATCTTTTTTTTAATTATATATTACTTTAATATTTTTTATACTTACCAAACTTATTCTTTCCTATCACTTGTACTAGGCATTTTCCATTTTTGAAATTAT